AATGATTTGGCAAAAGAAAAGAGATAAGCAGTTTGATGTGCCGTCTGAATAAAACGTCAAACACAGGTATTCTGCAAGAGATGGTAGTTCTAAACTACAGTTCCGTTAGTTGCTCAGATAAAAACAGTAAATGGCCTGAATACGGGAGCCTTGTTAAAGTGTTCTCACGATATAAGATGGGTACTGGTAGATCGCGAAATTATATCTTTATAAGTTATACTTATCAATAGTAAAATGAAATAATTTGATTATTGTATATCAATACCTACTTATACCATAAGAAGATTTATAAAAAGATCACCAAAATTATCGCTAGTGTGGCATTATAAACAAGATGTAAGTTATCAAATAAAATAGTAAAAAGCTAATGAGAGAAATCTACCAGAATTTTCTCTATAAGACGGTAAAATAGTAATAAGTGTACATGTGTATAGTGACAATAAACATATTCTTCTTCTTCTAAATCTTTCCAGTACTCTCTGCTGTTCTTTCACACTTTTCAGACCTTCTAGCCATATTTATTATCTCTACGTTATCTCACCCCTGCACTGTAAAACACCACTATATTTGAGGATATATAATAGTAATGTTTATTCAATTTACAAATGCTTCCATTTTAATATACAGTATACAAACACAATCCAGGCCCTTGTGCAGTAAACTACAGGGAACTACAACTGTAAAGTGTATATTCAATACATAGAGAGGTTCTAGTTTTAGTTCTTCTCAGGTTTATATTGTATTCTGTGCTTATTATTTATTCCTTATTCCCTTGTTTTGTCCCTTATGTTCTGTAACTGTAAATGTATCTTGCGCTTTAATAAAACACTCCATCTATAAATCTGTCTCCTTATCTCAAAGCAGCTCTAACAGCATGCAAGTGCATGAAAAAAACAATCAAACACAGGACCTGTGACAGCCTCAGGAAACCATTTTTACCCCATGACTCCCGTGATTCAGTCTCACAAGAGTGATCTATAGACTTCAACTTTATTTCATGTGTGAGCCCTTCTGTTAAGGCTTGTGTCAAGTCGTTAGTGCAGTGGATTTTTTTTTTCATTACAGTCTCATATCTTCTATTATATCTTATAATATTCCTACTTTGTGATGTACTTTTTGCACTACATCTCCCTATGCTGCTGTGTTTGACTTTAACTTCTCCTGCATCTTTTCTTATCTCATCTGACTATTTCAAGAAACTCCACATATGATCACCAGCTGACAAGCAACCAAAACTCTCACAACAGTGGAGTAATAACATGTCAGTCCTCACGGTCAGACAGGGTTAAGGGTGCGACCACAGCTCCTACCGTGTTCCAGGTCCTGCGGGTCGTACCAAGGATCTCCATTCTTGTCAAACTCTTCCTCCAAAATCACGTCAGTTAACATTTTTACACTCTGACACACAGGTGTGCAGGTGTGTGTGTGTGTGTTAGTTCAGCAGCCTGTTCACCGCCGTGTGTGGAGAAACGTCAACTACATCGTCCCGGTGTTGTGTGAGGCGTTAAGTATGTTGTCTCTACGGCAACGTGGCAAATCTTTAATACACCCCGACATCCGGTAGGTGGCAGATAAAGCGTCAACTACACGATAGAAGAAAATGTATTTTACTTTTAAATCATTTTTAACTGAATATTCAAACTAACTTTTAGTACTGCTCACAGGTTAATGACTACCGGTTAAATAGTTTTAAAAAATGTTTTTAATTGTCGTAACCTCCTGCTTCCGTTGACAGACGTTCTTATCGGCCAATCACGAAGCAGCAAGTGGAGCCAAAGAACTCTTCTGGCCAATCAGATGTCTGTTTGTTATGTTGAAGTCCCGCCCCCGCCCGGAAGACACAAAAATCGAGTTTGACAAGATTGCAGTTTCTTAATGTGATACAGCTTCAGTAAACAGTCTGCTTAACGGGAAGTAACACTGTGACATGTGGGCTGGATGAAAATGAGACAGTTGGAACAAGAACCAGCTCTGCACACAACGCTTTTTTGCCGTGAAATATTGACCAGTGTCCCAGTTGCTGCTATACAGCAGTAAGTAGTTATTGCAAGCGACATAGTTTCCTATGCCCAGCTGGTTACACCGACAGGAAACTTGGTCTTTGGGTTGCTTGAGCAGCCATGGCCGCCGTGGAGAAACCTGCTTCAGGTGTGCGCTCCGGAAGACTAAATGTAGGCCGACACCTTATTAACTTTGGTGTCAATCCTGCAGCTGTGGCTTATGCCATGACCACTCTAGGATCTGGCATGATAAACAATATATTCAGCTTCTACTATGTGAAGCTCTTTATCAATAAGTACAAGGTATCAGAGGGAGCGTTCCACCAATCACAGGTGAGTTATTATTATCTTACACATTGCTGTTCTTTGTGTGCAAATATATGTAAATATCAACAACAAAAGATGTAGTCAAGAATAAACGTGAGATTTTTAGGTGATTCATTAT